TTTCACGTGTGCCACTCGTAGATGGGTGGACACTAATCTGCCAGCAACTCCCCCAGACCTTGGGGGGGGGGGGGGAATTCTGGTGGTGGAAGTCCACCCATCTTAAGGATGCCAAGCTTGAAAAACACGGGTGTAGTTGAACCCTTGTCTGTGTGTGTTTTTGAAGACTGGCTAACAAATAGGGGGTAGAGTGTTCTCACATGCCTGAAACCTTCCATTCATTCATTCATTCATTCATTCATTCATTCAAATTTGTTAAGGCTGCCCAACTATAACAGTTATTGTTATAACTATAACAATAGCCTGTTTGGTGTAGTGGTGAGGGCCCCAGGCTAGAAAGCAGGGGATGGTGAGTTCTAGTCCTGCCTTAGGCACGAAAGCCAGTTGAGTGGCTTTGGGCCCATCCCGTTCTCTCAGCCCTACCCACTTCACAGGGTGGTGGTTGTGGGGAAAATAGGAGGAGGAAGGAGTATGAGATATGTTCTCCCCCTTGAGTTCTTTATAAAAATAATAAAGGCAGGATTTAAAAGGTCTAAAAAAAACTTCCAGTGGACTCTGGGTGGTTCTTAGCGCTCAGATCAGCCACGAGCAAAGTAACTCTGTCTGTTTCCCTCCCTTTTCCTCCTATATTAGGAGAACGGATACACCCATATACACACCCCTATCATTACTTCAAATGACTGTGAAGGTGCTGGAGAAGTCTTCAAAGTTGAGGTAAGCCAGGATAATCCAGCAACTGCCATGTCTGATTGTGGTTCTCCCAAACAGCATTCTCGGGATACATTGGGCTACAACTGCCATCATTTCCCTTGCAGATCCATAGAACATCTGAGCTGCAGGGGGTCTTCCAAGGTCCTCTAGTCTGACCCCATGTTCAGCCCAGAGAGCCTTTAAACTATTCCCAAGGGGCGACTGTACACAAATCCATCTAGTTTGGAGAAAGAGGAGAGGGAAAGTGGTCCGGTTGGATTGGGGGTGTGTGTTATATTTCTTTGCCCTGCATGTCACATTTAGAGTCCCTGCTCTGAGATGGGCGGCCCTATAAATTATTTAAGCAAATAACATTAATTAAAGGCAGACTTTGGGGGCTAGAAGGGGCGTGGGCAGGGAAAGATGTTAATGGAATGGGCAGGTGTTATTTTTTGGAGAAAGAAATTAGTGTCTTCAGCCTTTGCGAGACCAAAGGCATCCATTTAGTTCCTTAATTTCTCTCCAACCGTCTATGCAAAACAGACCATCTCCCTAAATCAGTGCTTCTCAACCTTGGCAACTTGACGATGGGTGGACCTCAACTCCCAGAGATCCCCCCCCCCCCCCCC